CTGGGCTGTGCCAAGCCAAGTGGTAAAGAAACCTACTAGATGCTGACATAATCATTCCCTGCACTAAGTTACTTGGTGGTTCCCAAGCCATGATGGAAGAGAGATTGAGGTTCACATACACCAGACACCACACCGATTTCTTAATGTCCAGATGACAAAAGCACAAAAGACAAGGAATGTCCCCTGGGGTCTCAGATGGACACAAGTATGCTGGCTTGCTGTGTAGAAGGCCCTGCTTTTCTCTCTCCTCCCCTGTGCTCCCTCTTTCTACGACGGAAGAAGCATGGAGGAGTAGGAGCGGCTCAAGGATCCAACCCCAACAAAGGTCATTGTTCCCCACTGGGTAGACATCCTGCCTAATTGTAGGCCCTTCCAGATGGAAGCAGTGGTATGCTCTCAGCACCACCACTGCCCCTGTTTCCTCTGACTCCCACGATTCAGCTATGCTGCCTTCCTTAGGCTAAGGCCCACACATTTCTGCTGCACACACTCTCTCAAGAAACCCAAATTTAACTAGAAAAAGGCTGAGAAAAAGGCATAGTAGGCAACTATCCAGTAAATGGAAGAGGGGAAAAAAAATTCAGGAGTGGGGGGAAGAGAATAAATTTTGGAGTGCAGCATACAAAAAGCAGCATGTTGTCTTTAAAGGTATATGTTGGTGTTTAGCGGGAATTCTAAGCAAGAAACAGCCCCAGTCAATCTCAGGCTCATAAAAGGATGTTTGGCTAGTTGCCAGATGCACAGAAAAAAAACTGTAGGGTCCCCCAGCATCCTGGGGGACAAAGTCCCCAGAAAATATAGCGAAGAATAACTTCATTAATAAATCAATTTCAGCCAGTGAAGAATTAGGGCAAGGGAAATAGCTCCCAGGAAAATGCAAAGTAGCACCAGGTTATTGCTGATTTGGTTTATGTGGTGTTTTTTGGTTGGCCAACGTTTTAGCGCAGCAAGGCCATGTGGCACTGGAGCTTCAAAGCTGCTCACTAACTACATTTTCCATGTGATGAATCTATTGGGCCATAATTCTTCAATGGCAACTTTCCAGTCTATGAGGAAATGGAACATAAAACTCAGAGAACAGGTGTGTGGGAGAGTAAAGAGAGCCCTGCACTGACTCTTCCAGAATCAGGAGCTCTCTGGTTAAGTCCGAACTCTGCCCTGGATGGGTTGTTTCCTAATATCACCGAGCCTCGTGACAGCACCGTAAGGGACATCACAGGGACGTTATCTAGTCTAAACCCCTCATTTTCCAGGGGAGGAACCAAGCCCCAGGCAGGAGAAGTTACTTGCCTGGGTCACACAGGTAGCAAATGGCCAAGACAAGCCAATTCATATCTACTGATGACAAATCAGCGTTCTTTCCCTTAGAAGAAGGGGGTTGGGCTGCATGATCCCTAAGGTTCTTCAAGCTCTGTTAGTCCATTTTGACCCAACCCAATCCAACAAGCATTCATTACATGCCAGGCACTGTGCTGAGTGGCATAGTGGGCAGAGCACCAGGACTAGAGTCAGGAAGACCTGAGTTTAAACCTAGCTTCATACACTTCCCAATTGTATGACCCTGGGCAAGTCACTTAACCCTGTTTTCCTCAGTTTCCTCATCTTTAAAATGAGCTGGAAAAGGAAAATGGCAAACCACTCCAGTGTCTGTGCCAAGAAGCCCCCAAATGGGGCCATGAAGAGTCTCACATGATTGAAAAAACAACATCACACGGAGCTAAGGGCTTTACATTTATTATCTCATTTGATCCTCATAACAACCCTGAAAGGTAGGTTTATAGTTTATAGTTAAGGAAACCGAAGCAAACAGGGTTAACTGACTTGTCCAGAGTCACAGAGCTAGTAAGTATCTGAGGCTGGATTTGAACTCAGGTTTTCCTGATTCCAGATCCTGTCCTCTATCCACTGAGCCATCTAGCTGCCTCTTTCAAATGCTTTTCTGCACAAAGGCAGTGTGCTGGTATTTTGGGACCAACTAAATTGTGATGACTGTAATGCATTCCATAGTGTCTGCTTTATAGTTGTTATACCCCTGTTATGATGCATACAAGAATGTGGTTACCACACAGGGTGTTGTGTCACACCCTTCCCCTGTGAATGTAAATACACTGATATTGCTATACACTACCCAAATGAACCACAGCGGTCCTGACCTGTCTCCTAACAGACTTTCTGACACCTTTACTGGCTTCCAACGATATCCTCCAGGAAACCTCATTATGATAACTGGATTCTATATCTAGCCAGCTCCTTTCCTCCCTTCATCTAGCAGTTAGTTTTTCCACATAATCGTTCACTTAAAAGGCAATTGCTGTTAAGTGTAGGGCTTAATATGGAAAGGAGAATCAGATCAATTCCCCATCTCATTTATTCTGAAGGACCCTCTTCCCCCAAATAACACCAAAACAGCTACATGATGAAAGGTACAGGGCTGTGATTGCATTGGTATGGGGAACATTTAAATGAGGAGACTCCCCTCTAGTATTGTAGGATGGCACCTTTCCTGTAATTTAGTCTTGGAGGGTTATCTAGAACAGAGGTGTCAAATATGCTTCCCCCACCTCCAGCACAGCACAGAGGGCGGCCCAACCTAGAGGAAAAGGTAATGGAGAAATGTTAAACAAAATAAATTAAAAAATAAAATCTAGATAATATTACATTTTAAAACTAAGTAAATGTGTGGCCAGCTGTAGGAATCCACGAACATATCTATCTATACACATATATGCAAACATATACATATGCACATGTGTATGCATATATGTACATACATATATGTACATATAAACATAAATATTTTTGTATGTACATGCATGTATGTATGCATATATACATATTTATTAGAGAGAGAGATATATAAGCAGATATGTATATATTTGGATAACTATCTTTCAATATAATTGGCTTTCATGTGCAAACCTGTGTATTTTCTTCTATGTATTTAAAAGCATTACTCCGAGAACATCTTCACTCCTGACCCCCTGGATTTTCACCACCATGCATCAGCTGGAGTCTTCTCACCTTGGAAGTTTACTCAGCTCCTGCAAGCCTTCCCTCAGATTGGTCGGTTTTTCCCAGAATCTTCATTTTAATGAAAGTGCCTGGGCCAGTCATAACTCTCAAAGATGAGGAGCTCCCAAAAGGAGAATGGACTGCTATCCATACTTCTCAATGATGAGGACTTCCCAAAAGTGGAATGGGTGCCATCCACCCTTCTCCATAGTGACTACTTTCCAAGAGTGAAATGGTCACATTCCATCCTTAGTGGGAGATGGATTGCCTCTCCAGGGCGAAGTAAAGCTTCACACAACAACTTGTATTTGGGTTGGAGTAGATGAACAATGATTCCACCTTCCAGTTCTTGAATTCCATGAATATGGATCAGGTTGTATGTGCCCCTTGAAGCCTAATTTTACGAGTATCACAGAGTGACCCTTTAGTCAATAAGGTTGTGTTCAATGACAGAGGGTTCTAGCCTGTCAGTGATTACATTGAGGGCCCAATATCTTCAACATTATGAGAGTTTTCTACTATTCCTTACAAATAATAAAACGATCTAGTGAGTAAAGGAGAAGGCTGGGTGAACTCTGACTTAAGGTTGTTGGCAAGAAACTCCTGGAAGGCATGGATCTGGGGGTCAACCAATGAATATATAAGAATCCATCAGAATCAGAGCTTTTGAGACCGAAATCATGGTATAGTTCTGTTGTATGGACAAAACCAGTAGCTACTGTCCAAGGCTGGCTCAGGACCTCTTGACTTGGAAAAACAAGTCTAACCCTTTCCTACCTATATTGGCTCCATGAGGATGACCAGGGCCTTGGGATTCAATTATAGCCTGTATCTGAATGACCCTGGGTTAAGAGAGCTTGATTCTACTTGAGTGGCAGAACAGATTGCCAGAAGGGTGACCTCTGAAAGGAGATCCTTCATAAGGGGAAATTCTGACAATGTTCCGGTCACTAAGGATCCCTTCGCCCATCCCTTTGGCCTTATGGCCCATGTGGTGCACTAACTCATCCAGTATTTCTAGCTGCCCACATTATAAGTACAGCTGCCCCACCAATCACCTTCCTCATAGTGAAGGGGTCAGTCAATGCCAAGCCCCGTCTACACACATAAGAAGAGAACTTCTTTTAGTTTAGATGCAGGGCTCAAAAGTCCCCTCTAGTGGAAAAAGAGATCCCACTAACCAAAGGCTCTGCTGGACCAAAAGTATCATGCCCATCTTAAACTGGGCAAATTCAACCTGCTTGAATAGGCTCTTTTCTGAATAGTTCCATTAGGAACTTCATCCTAATAGATCTTGGCTTACTACCCACACTAGTAGATTCCACAAGCCTATTGAAGTTATGAGAGATCTACCAGTTTGCAACCTCAGGTCATAACAGATCCTCAAAGGTCTTGCTGTCCATCAAAACGTTCTCAAACTTCTCCAGTCAGTGGAGTCCTTCCATCATGCAAACCAGATCCTAACTTTCCTCAGACCATGAGACCAACATTCACTTGGTTGATAGGAAAGTGCTTTGCAGAACTTCCAGTACTACTTCATATGAGGGCACCCAAAGGACATTGTCAGGTTGGTCTAGCTGCTATTACATTGAATGAGTCTTTTTTCTCCAAAGGAAGAAAAGGGAAACACTGCGTCCTCCCACCCAAGCTGATGTTTTAAAGCTGCTCTTCCTCTAGCTGTATCTCTACTCCACCTCACCTTAAAGAACAGATGAGCTATATACTGATTATCATTATTAAGAATGACAACCACAAAGCACTTTTTCTCACAATAATCCTTTGGATTAGAGGACTAAGAGGACAAGTATTACTATTTCTTTTTTACAGCTGAGGAAACTAAGGTTTAGAGAGCATACATGTCACTCAGGGTCACAAAGCTAATGTATTAGAATCCAGATCCTATGACTTCAAGATCAGTGCTCTCTGGGAAGTTAAGCTCATAAGTAAATCTTAGAGGATTTAAAGAAGGAAGAGATTTTAGATATTAATACATGTAACTCTCTAATTTTAATGAGGAACTTGAGGTCAGAAGGGTTAAGTGATTTGCCCAAGGTACACAGGTAGTAAGGAAGAGCCAGGATTCAATCCTGAGATCTCCAAAGTTATTCCTCTCCCAAGAGGCAGATTCCAAGACCACCTCTTCAATCTATCCAGAATCCTACTATGCTCAGATCCATTAGCATTACTTTCATTATGTTTCTCTACCCAAAATTCTTTAACAGCCAACCACTTGCTATACCATTTTGCCTGAACGTGCCTGAGTTTAGGTTTCAAATACCTCTTATAATCTGACCATACCTTCTCTATATAAACTTTCTCATTTCTTCCTAACGTAACTTCACTGGCCCTATGAACAAGCCCTGCCTGCCTTCTATTATTTTCCACACCTGAAATACTTTCCCATCTCTACCTAGTCAAATCCCACCCTTTCTTCAATATCTTGGCAAATCTCGCCTCCCCCTTGAAGCGTTCTCTGACTATTCTGCCTCTCATTGATCTTGGTAAGAAAAGTGAAAGTATGAACTCTTCTGGTATTGTATACTCTCATCTGATATGTGTTAGCCTTATCTCCCCAACAAGGCTTTAAGCTAGGAGTGGGCAAGGACTATGACTTAGGCATGTTCTCCATGACCTCTCCTACAGCACCTTAACAATTACAGAATATATAGTAGGCTCTCAATATACTATTAAGTGAGAAACTCAGAGGCAAGAACTGCTTTTTACCGGCTAATAACATGTTGGGGTACAAAAGATAAAATAAATCTAATATTAAGGGCATGAAGTTTTATACATATTGGTTAGAAATCCTAAGATCTATGTTTCCTTTCCCTATTTCACTATCAGCTCTACCCAAGGGAAGGTTTCTTATTTTGTAAATGGACCAATATAAAATACCGTCTTGAAAAGGGGTGACAGTGTGCTTTATTTTAAGAAAAGAATAAAGAACATAACTGGAGCCGTGCCATTATGCTCAAAATGATAATACATTCATCCTAACTAGGGTATTATCTTTCCAACACTCTCTGAAATGTTAAGATCTGAGTTTTAGCTAACTTATTTCTTAAGAATGTTAAGAAAAAAAGATAGAAATAAGCTCTAAATGAAATGGCCAGATAAGGGAACGTTTCTTCTCCCCATACTTAAACCCCAGCAGAAATACAGCACAATTCATCTAAAGAGCACACAGAGCAGCACCAAAACATGCTATTTACAAGAAGAGACTTTTCTTCAACATAACTCGCTTGGATGCTTTGGAAAACAGCATCCTATCAAAAAGCAGTTTGCTAAGGAAACTGTCAATGTCTAAGTGCCTAAGGAGTATCTGAAATTGCCAAGGAGTGGGGATGTGCAAACTCAGCAGCAAAAGGTTCTTTTGCTTCATGGAAAAGTGATGGTAGTCAAAGGTGTCAACTCTAAGGTCTGGTCTAATGGTGGCCGCTGTTCCTGGTATTCAGCTGGATGTCCATTCCGATGGTGGCCATATTCAAACTTGATTCTCAGCTCACCAATCTTGGACTGGGGCAAAATATCTGGAATCCATTCAATGATGAAAGGTGTTGGCTCCTTCTGATCTGGAGAGGTGTTGCCTAAAAGGATAAACAATAATCCAGTGCTGAATTTTTACCTACACATTTTGGTTATAATGAAGTGCGAGAAATAGCAAAATATGTGAGACTGTAGGTAAAATCCATCTTGTTACTCTTTGATCTTAGGGTTGATTTTTTTTTCGCTTTTTGGTGAGGCAATTGGGGTTAAGTGACTTGCCCATGGTCACACAGCTAGTAAGTGTCAAGTGTTTGGTCTGAGGCCAGATTTGATTAGGATTGAATTTTAATTAGGTAACAACATATCACCAAAGAACATAATAATCTTGGGAGACTTATGACTGTTGGTGACCCAAAAGGCAAAGGAAAGACAAATGGTTGTTGCAGGCTACAGTACATTACCAACAACGATTAATGCATGAAAACAGATGTAAAAGACATTATCAAGAACATTTATGATTGAAAGAGGTGGAGCAGTTATGTAGTTGGAGGGAGGGGAAACAGATGGACAATCTAAGGACTACACTACTAGATCCTCTATCTAGGATTTACAGAAAGATTGTCAGTGATTATTCAGAATAAGAAGGCAGCATATAACCTGTACTGAGGAGATGGAAGGAAGTGATGGGGGTGGAGGGTGGGGTGGGAGAGGGCATCCATGCTAATGAACTCAAAGAGATAAAGAGAGGGAGAAGAGCCAGACCCTATGATTTCATAGGCATAGAAAATTCCCAAAAGCTCTACTGAAAGCTGCTGCTCCACCATCTCAATCTGGATGCAGATTTGGAGGATCCCAATATTCCACTCCCATCTCTAGAGAGCTATGAGGAATATCCTTTAATAAATCTCTTTTGGACATGTTGGGGGGAAAAAAAAGGAAAGAAAAGAAGAGAAAATTCCCAGGACAGGAAACACTTCTTACCAAAGCAGATCAGTACCTTCTCAGCAACTTGAGAATTATCAGCATCTAAGCAACTCAGAGAATTATCTAGGGCACTAATAGTTTAAGTTACTTGCCCAGATCACACAGACAATATGTGTCAGAAAGAGAACCTGAATCTATGTCTTTCTGACTTCAAGACTAGCTTTCTATCCACTACGCCAAATGTATCAAACATTCGGCCCACGAGTACCTGCAGCCCACAACACTCCTGAGTACAGCCCAAACCAGACTAAAAATGTAGCTTTTGATTTTAATGTTTTGATGTACTCTTGAAAAAACAAATATATAAACATGTACGGATTTCTAAATAAAAATGTGGCCTGCAGAAATCCTTAGGTATGGTTGAGAGGCCCTCATTTCTAGAGGAATTGAACACCACTGTACTACACCATGATGTTTCTTGTTAAGAGCATGGATCCATCAAAATATTAAAGCACCACCACATTATTTCTATTTGAAGTGCTTCTATTTAATATAGCAGTCTTCACCTCACCCTTTGGGAATTAGGTCATCACACTGTTGAAAAATGTTGAGTCTAAACTAGTCTGATATATGATCATCTTCATTCTTAATGTTTCCTTCATGTTGAATACATTCTCATCTCCACATAAGTCATCAAATTTTAGAGAATAACATTATTTGGCTCCTTCATAGAAGGAATTCTGTAATTAACTTTGACAAGCTAAAAAAAAAATAGTAGTAACCAATGCCTAAAACAGCAATATCCTAAATTGCAACTAGGGCATGTTGTTAGAGCTTATTCTGATAAATTCTGTTAAAAAGCATGATATTACTCAGGGATCAGCCTACTGAAGATATTTCTTAACTACTTCCACTGGGAGAATAATTTTCAGCAGAACTCTCTTTGAAGTCTTTAGAGCAAGATGAGAACTTCAAAGAACCTGGGAATTGGAAACTACATAGGACTGAAAGCAGTAAAAGACTTCAGAGATCATTAATTCCAAATCTCTTTATTATAGGTGAGGAAACTGAGACCAAGACAGGTCAATTGACTTGCCTTAGTGCCAGTTAGTATGTAGAAGAAATGATACTTGAATCTAGGTTTTCTGACTCCAAATCCATTGTTCATTCACCTGTCTTTTCCCTAAAGCCTTTCTTTACCTACCTTCCAAATGAAAATGATTTCATTCTCTCTCTCTCTCTCTCTCTCTCTCTCATTTCTCATAGTACTGTACCCAAACATCCTGTTCACACACAGCTCACTCTGTCTTGTGTTATCAGTATTTATGTACTTGTTTCTCCCCTTTTAGAATGTAAGTCTCTTTAAAGGAGTTCCATGTATTATCTGTTTCTGTGCCTTACACAAAGTAGTCACCATATAAATAGGTTTGTTGAATATGCATGGATGGTAAATACCTTTATCTAAGGAAAAAATATTTTAGATATAGATGTGTCTTTGTAGTATGTCTATATGTGGAGGCATTATCACAAACTCATTTGGCTTTGTACCTAGCACAGTGCCTTTCTGGCACACAGTAAAAGATCTACAAATATACGAACTACTCTTGCCAAAGATATGTTCCTCAAAAGTTGTATTGATGCAACTTTTTCTGCCCTAAATGGTGCTTAAGAATGCAGTAAATAGGGACTTTAAGACAAAATGGTTGCCTGAATGGGAGTTAGACCCAGCATTCACACATCTAATCCAGGAAAAATCTTGACATTCACACCAGCCCAAATAATGACCAAAAAAAAAAAAGCCAATGTAAAATCACAGTAAGTAACTTCTTCCACTGCAGCACTGCAAAAAAAATCAACCAATATCCCATGAAACATAGGAAAAGAGAGCACCAGTAAAGCCAAGCAAAGAAGAGACACAGCCCTGGGTCCAGAGGCCAAGAAAGTAGATAGCTCCCTAAGAAAGCTTCATCAAGTGAGATAGGAAAGCCCTACGGCGGAAAGAAAACATCAGGGGGAGGGAAGGGGTTGAAGCTTGGAAGCCCTGGGGAGCAGTAGCAACAAATGAAGCATGGGAGAGTTCAGACTGGACAGCCCAGATACCCAAGGACTCCAAGGTCTCTAGCACTCTATCTTGATATGACATAGAGGGCCCTGGGGAATCCTACTTTATGAATCTCAGAGATCCAGGGGGACCTCACTTCTGAAATGAAGAGATTGGTACAGGAAGCCAAGGGCCCCAGAGTAAAACAAGCAGTGCTGACCACCCCATAAAAAAGTATGGCAAGGGAAAAAACCTGCCTCTGGCATAAAAATTAAGTGAGAAATAAGTAAATAAAAATAAATACAAACCAGCACCAGAAAACAGTATGGCAGAAACTAGGTATAGAGCAACATCTTATACTATATAGCAAGATATGGTCAAAATGGGTATATGACTTAGATGTAAAGGGTAATACCATAAACAAATTAGGAGAACAAGGAATAGTTTATCTGTCAGATCTATGGAGAAGGGAAGAACTGGTGACCAAATAAGACACAGAGAACATTATGAGATATAAAATGTAATGGAATACTATTGTGCTATAAGAAATGATGAGCAAGCAGGCTTCAGAAAAACCTGGAAAGAATGTATGAACTGATGTTGAGTGAAGTGAGCAAAACCAGAAGAAAATTGTACACAGTAACTGCAATGCTGTGCAATGACCAACTTTGATAGACTTAGCTCTTCTCAGCAATACAAGGATCTAAGACATCTCCACAAGTCTCATGACAGAAAATGCTATCCACATTCAGGGAAAAAACTATGGAGTTTGGATGCAGATCAAAGCTTACTATTTACTCTTTTTTTTCCTTCTGTTTTGTTTTGTTTCTTCTTTCTTGTGATTCCGCCTTTTGATTTTAATTCTTCTTTACAATATGACTAATGGGAAAATATGTTTAATACGAATGTATATGTATAGCCTATATCAGATTGCATGCCGGCTTGAGGAGGGAGATAAGGAAGGAGGAGAAAATTTAAAACTCAAAAGCTTAAGGAAGAGAATGTTGAAAACTAAAAATAAATTAATAAAAATAAGAAAAGGGAGGTTAAAAGGAATAGTGTAAAAAAGTGTAAAAAAGAAAGAATGAGCGTAACTTGCTGAACATTCGAAGACAAATATTTAAACATGATGAAGCAGGAATCAGATAAACTTTACTCTCATCTGAAATGAACAAGGGAGGATTAAATACCTCCCCTTCCCTTCCCCCCAAATACACACAGAGTTTGGTATAGAGATACATCAAATTCAACTAAGAAACAAATAACGGTAGAAAGGTAGAGGGTATATAAGAGGGAATATAATACTGGGGAGGGAACGGTCACAAACAAACTTCCTTATCCCAAAGTGGGGAGTAAAAGGAACAAAAAAGAAAAAAAAGAACTAGAATCCAAGGGGGCGCCCTTCAATTGAAGAAACTGTGGTTTATGAACGTAATGGAACACTATGCACTATAAGTAAGGAAAACGAAGATTTCAAAGAATCTTGGGTACTATGAACCAATATAGTTTAGACCCCAGGGCTTCTAAAATTTTTTCCATTCTGACCCCTTTTCCCATGGCAGGGTTCATTGGCGTTGCATGGGCCAAGGGCATGCGCAGTTCAAAGTGCATATGCTTTGTGTTCAGAACCAAGGCTTCAGTGAAGTTGCCCAATGCAACACAGGCAAGTGCTGCCAGAAACATCTTGGATTCATAACATGTTTGATTTTTAATTAATTTTTGGTCATTGTGCATTCAGAAACCTTTTACATGACCCACAGTTTAAGAAGCACTTGTTTAGAGAACAAAAAAAAACCAAGAGAATAATTTATACAAGGACAACAACATTATAAAGAAAAACAACTTTGAAATATTTAAGAACCCTGATCAATGCAGTGACCAACCAGATTTCCAGAGGACCTATGATGAAGCATGTTACCTACCTCCTGGCAGAGAGGTGATAGATCCAAGGTAGAAAAAAGAAACATACAATTTTAGACACAGCCACTGTGTAGACTGGTTTTTCTTTACTATGCTTATTCGCTCCAGGTATGTGCTTTTTTTTTTCTTTCTCTCAGTTTTTTGATGGGGGAAGAAAGATTGGGGGCAGAAGTGAGATTAGCAATAGAGATGTCAAAAAAGAGAGAGAGAACCACT